AGATTCTAATCTCTCACAATTAGATCGTGGAACTGAAGAAGAATTCTTTGATTCCTTAAGAAGAGTACCAATCCCTTTTGTTTATATTCCACTAGGAGATTTAGAAACTCAACTATCAGTATGTAAAGGATATTGTAAATTTGAGACAAAAACATACGATGGTGTATTGATGGATTTAAAGACAGCAATTAAACTTGGAATAGAATTCATAGGAGGTGAAATAATTGAACAAGAACAAGTAGCTCTTTATTATATTGGTCTTTTAATAGAAAAAGAAAATAAATAAACTTAAATGAGTTTTATTCAACAATTTCTAACTTGTTTCTTCTAGCAGCACTACCACCACACTCTTTCATATGTTCTTCATATCTATCAGAAAATATAGAATTACATATCTTAATAACATTCTCAAATTCAACCTCATCCTCACTACGTACACTCTCAATACCAATAACACCAGCTTGTTTAACATTAACTAAGTTACCTAACTTACTCTTTGAAGAAACAATAGCATATGGAACATTCAACCTCTTAAAGAGAGTTGGTAAGAATACGAAAGTAGTAATAGGAACTACATCACTAGCAATCAAAACTAATTTTAACTTCTTTTGTTCTGCTAAATCAACAATGTGTCTTGCACCAAACTTTAATAAGATTGGTTTAGCTGAAAGAGTATGTTTAATCAATCTATTTGCTAATTTACCGTTAAATAGTTTCTTATTAATGATTTCTTCTTTGATTTCATCAGAAATATTAGCTGATTTAATAATATCAGTTTTCTTTTCTTCACTCATATTAGACAATGTTTCTTTCTCCTTCTTAATCCTTTCAAACTTCTCCTTTCTTGTCTCAGGTGAATATTTACTAAGTAATGACAATACTCTCTCTTCATCCTTTTCACTTAATTTTGTATTGAACTGATGAATAGGTGCAGGTATCTTAATAGAAGTAGATAACTTTTCTATTTTAGTTTTCAATCTTCTTTCTGCCACTTCTTTAGGAACTGTTTTTTTAACTTCTTCCTTCTTTTTTCTATAACCAAGTACCATTTTATGGGCTTAAAAAATTTCATAAAAATTTCTTT